TTGTGGCTACTGGACCCTCTCCAGCAACTCGTCTTTCTTGTACTGAGGAGCCCAGAACTGGACACAGTACTTCAGATGTGGCCTCACCAGGGTCAGTAGAGGGGGAGGATCACCTCCCTTGACCTGCTGGTCACACTCCTCCCAGTGCACCCCAGGAAACTACTGGCCCTCCTGGCTGCAAGGGCACATTGCTGGCTCATAGTCAACTTACCATCTACCAAGACTCCCACGTCCTTCTCAGCTGAATGACTCTCTAGTAGTCAGCCTCCAACCTGTACTGATACTTGGGGTTCTTCTTCCCCAGGTGCAGGACCCTACACTTGCCTTTGTTGAACCTCATCAGGTTTCTCCCCACCCAATTCTCCAGCCTATCAAGGCCCCACTGAATGGCAGCACAGCCTTCACTCAAAACAACCAACCCAGTATATTGCTGTGATTCATCTTAACATTTCTACTTCCCTGTTCCTCCCTCTTTTCCCCACCCCTTGAAAGAAAATAAAAAAGGGTTCTGAAAGTCTAAAAGAAGCGGGAGTATCTTAGCACAGGTAAGCACACTTCTATGCATCAGGGAAACAATTAGGCCAGCTTTCATTATGTATTTCCATTTGAAGGTCAGTGTTTTGGAATTTATGAATCAAACAATCTATTGGCATATCTATGGTGTGTCTTCTTGGAGCTGTCAAAAGCCTAACTAAACCAAATTTTTCCTTTGCATATATTTTTTCCTTACTCCTTTATCATTTATGAAATGCAAGGCATCTAATTTTCTGTCTTGGGTAGTGTCATTGAGGAGAAGGAGGTACGGTGTTTTGTGTATGGAGTTACCTCCGTGCTGTCATGAAAGATGAGTTGAAGATTGTTTTTTATCCTTGGAAGTAAGTGAAAGGACTAAGCTGTTTCTGGAATACTGTATTGGGTTTTTTGGCAAGGTTTTGGTAGCATGGGGGCTGCTAGAAGCTTCCCCATGTCCAGTACAGCCAATGCCAGCTGGTTCCAAGACAGACTCATGGCTCAAGGCTAAGCCCATCAGTGATGGTGGTAGTGCCCCTGGGATAACATAGTTAAGAAGGGGGAAAAACCACTGCAACAGCAGCTGGAAGAGACGAGTGAGAACATGTGAGATAAGCAGCCCTATAAAGCTAAAGGCCAATGCAGAAGGAGGGGAGGAGGTGGTGCAGGAGCCAGAGCAGAGATTCCTATGCAACCCATGGAGGTCCGTGGTGGGGCAAATACCCACTGGCAGCCCATGGAGGAGCCCACACTGGATCAGGACGTGGACCTGTTGGAGCGAGTCCAGAGAAGGACCATAAGATGATCTGGGAGCTGGAGCATCTCTCCTATGAAGACAGGCTGAGAGAGCTGAGTTCAGCCTGGAGAAGAGAAGCCTCTGGGGAGACCTTAGAGCAGAAAGCTGGAGTGGGGCTTTTTATAAGGGCGTGTAGTAACAGGACAGAAGAGAGATTAAGATTGGATATTGGGAAGAAGTTCTTTACTGTGAGAACGATGAAGCACTGGAACAGGTTGCCCAGAGAAGTGGTAAATGCCCCATCCCTGGCAGTGTTCAAGGCCAGGTTGGATGGACCTTTGAGCAACCTGGTCTAGTGGAAGGTGTCCCTATCCATGGCAGAGGGTTGAAACTATATGATCTTTAAGATCCCTTCCAACCCAAACCAGCTTGTGATTGTATGATTTTGGCAATAGGGGGTGAGTGTTCCTTGCTTTAAAACTGTTGAGTTCACTCATCTCAGGATCATCCCTGAACCTGGCTATTGCAAGCTGACTCTGCCTTTTGACTCTTTGCTGTATGAAAATCTGCCAGGGGTGTTACAGAAGAAGGAAGGTTCTCCAAGCTTCCTTGGCATGGAGTGGTTTGTAAACAGGAGCTTCAGTGAACAGTTGGAAGGATTCTCACTTAAAAAAATCTAGTTTCTTCTGGATTTGTATCTGGTTTCTCATGTCTAAAAGGGCATCAACACTTCATTTTGTCCCTGTTACAGCATTTGTGATGTCTGTCTGCCATTGAATTAACTGGTGTGTAAGGCTTAAACTTATGCTGTAGTGTTTCTGCAAGTAGGTAAATACCAGGGTCTCTACTCTGTGAAGTTGCCTACTGTCTTGAGCCAACAGGATGAAGAATTATTAGGGGAGGGGTGGATTATCAGGAACAGATACATGTTCTATAAATAGCATTTTCTTTGGAACTCCACCTCAAGCAGACACTGCTGTCACTTAAAGCTGAGGATGGTCCTGCATGTGGTGAGGCTGTCCTGGGCAAAGTACAGGGTTGTGTTCCAGGAAAGTGTTAAAGCAGAGCAGTAACTTAGCATAGTGATAACACTGAGTGAAAAAGAAAACAAACGGTGTTTGCCTGTTTCCTTGTGCCTTTATGATCCTTACCTGTTTCTCATGTACATTCCTATGCTTTATAGCCTTAAGTTGGTTTTGGATATGAAAGAGAGATTAAGCTATCAGTTTGTGATAAACTCAGGGTCACCAGTTCCTTTGCCAAGACTTGGCTCCACTCACTCTGGTCACTCCAGTTGCTGGCACCACAGGCACACAAGTTCATAGAATCATAGAGTAGTTAGGGTTGGAAAGACCTTAAGATCATCAAGTTCCAACCCCCCTACCATGGGCAGGGACATCTCGCACTAGACCATGTCACCCAAGGCTCTGTCCAACCTGGCCTTGAACACTGCCAGGGATGGAGCATTCACTTCTTTGGGCAACCCATTCCACTGCCTCACCACCTTTACAGTAAAGAACTTCTTCCTTATATCCAATCTAAACTTCCCCTTGTCCTATCACTACAGTCCCTAATGAAGAGACCCTCTCCAGCATCCTTATAGTCCCCCTTCAGATACTGGAAGGCTGCTATGAGGTCTCCATGTAGCCTTCTCTTCTCCAGGCTGAATATCTCAAACTTTCTCAGCCTGTCTTCCTATGGGAGGTGCTCCAGTTCCCTGATCATCCTCATGGCCTTCCTCTGGACTTGTTCCAACAGTTCCATGTCCTTTTTATGTTGAGGACACCAGAACTGCGCACAGTACTCCAAGTGAGGTCTCACGAGAGCAGAATAAAGGGGCAGGATCACCTCCTTCAACCTGCTGGTCATGCTGCTTTTGATGCAGCCCAGGATACGGTTGGCTTTCTGGACTGTGAGTGCACACTGAAGCTGGCTCATGTTAAGTTTCTCACTGACCAACGCTCCCAAGTCCTTCTCTGCAGGGCTGCTCTGAATCTCTTCTCTGCCCAACCTGTAGCTCTGCCTGGGATTTCCCCAGCCCAGGTGTAGGACCTTGCACTTGTCATGGTTAAACTTCATGAGGTTGGCATCAGCCCACCTCACAGGCGTGTCAAGGTCCCTCTGGATGGCATTCCTTCCCTCCAGCGTATCAACCGAACCACACAGCTTGGTGTCATCGGCAAACTTGCCGAGGGCGCACCCAATCCCACTGTCCATGTCAGCGACGAAGATGTTAAACAAGACCGGTCCCAACACCGATTCCTGAGGGACACCGCTTGTTACTTGTTCCTCTAACGTGATCTCCAGTTAGTGGCACTTAGGCCTCCAAGCACACAAATGTGCACAGAATAGAGAGTCCCTCAACCAGAAATATGCTTAGAAATACAGTTTAGTAAGAAGACAGGACAGATGAGGTGCAGGGCAGAGCCAGTCAAGCATACAGACCAGCCACTCTTCTATGTTTGCTCCTCCCAAAGTCACCTTGTTCCCTTGTACAATCTTCAAATGCTCTTCTTAGTATCACATAATATGCCCATACCCCTAGGAAGTAACTGACCTGTGACTCAGACAGCATCTGGACTTCAGGAAACACTTCCTGTGAGGGTGACTGTTCACTGGCCCAAGTTGCCCAGAGACATGGACTAGTCTCCATTCATGGTGATATTCAAAAGCCATCTGGGCATGGTCCTGGGCAGCCAGCTCTAGGTGTTCCTACTTGAGCAGGGGGCTGGACCAGATGGCTTTCACAGGTGCCTTCCAACCTCAGCCTTTTTGTGATTCTGAGCAGGGGGGCTTGCCAGGTGAATAGTCACACTGCTTAGGAGCATTTGCAGCATTCAGGTCTTGGGAAGGTCTGTGAGGACAAAGAAATGCAAGAAAACGGCAAGGAGAGACATAGTTCCACATGTCCTGCCCTTTCTTGCTTGAGGAAGGATCTCGGTCTTGTTCCTTGGTTTAACACTCTTCCAACCCTTTCCCCTTCTCGTTCCATCAACAGTTAACACAGTAGAGGGATGTACTGGGTTTGTGTGGCAAGGTTTTGGCTCCAGGGGTGGCTTCTGTGAGAAGCTACTAGAAACTTTCCCCATCTGAGCCCATAAGTAATGGTGGTGGCACCTCTGACATGACATATATAAGAAGAGGCAAAAGTCACTGCGCACAAGCACTTGCAGCCAGAGAGATGAGTGAGAATACATGGGATAAGTAGCTCTGCAGATGCCAAGGTCAGTGCAGGAAGAGAGGAAGGAGGTGCCCCAGGTGCCAGAGCAGAGATTCCTCTGCAGCCTGTGGTGAAGACCATGGTGGAACAGATGTCGCCCCGCAGCCTATGGAGTTCCATGGTGGAGCAGTGGGAGACACTCAGAGGGAACTGCTGAGAAGGTGGTGTAGGCCTGCCAATACAAGTTTGGAAGGAGCTGCTTCTGAAGGGACTGTGCTCCATGGGGGGCACATGACAGGGCAGGGATGGCCCTGAGGGAATGTGGCCAGCAGAGGATCCATACTAGAACAGTAATGCTGGGAAGTGTGAGGAAGCCTGGTATTTTTATGGAGAGGAAAGCTCTGTATGTTGATAATTGTTGTGAGGGCTACCTCAAATTCACATACGTGTGCTATGTGAATTTGCCAGATAGAGCTGGCAGGGGTAGGTGGGCTGCAGGAGTGGCCTGTGTGGGAGAGGGCCATTGAAGTGCCCTAAGTGCCCTATACCAGTCACAATTACTTACAGCCAGCTCAAAACCTGATGGAAAATCCATTTTAATGTTTTTGTTTGGTTAAATTCACAATTCCCCAGCTGCTAATGACCAGGAAACGGAACTGGCTTGCTTTTTATTCCAACTGTGTTCATGCTTACAGGTGCTTTGTTGCATGACAGGTTTTTTGACATCTACTCCACACTTCCTACAGCATCACCCCAGGTTCTCACTCAGTTCACGTGACTCATTACACAAGCCAGTGGGAGCTGCATGTGTTCTCTGGCACCAGTAACTTGTACAGACACATGTAAGCATGCAAGAGAAATCACCTGTAAGCTGTACCTTATCATCATCACTACTATGACTCATTAGACTGTTAATTACTTCATCTGAGCAGTCTTAGCTGTCAACCAAGTAGAGGCTATTTGAAGCAGTACGGTTGGAAAGAAGATTGAGTGCAGACCCAGAACCACAGACAAACTCCAACCAGCAGTACTACACTGAGTTTCTTTAAATTCATAATGGCACCCTGGAAGAGATCACGTAAGCTTGCACTGTTAATCGTGAACACAGGGTTTGTGTGTTATCTTGTGCACTTACTGCAAGATCAAAGAAAGAGAAGACCTGATTTCTTGGAAGTAAATCGTCAATCTCTGAAGCAAGAAAACATCGTCCTTCAGAGACTGGACCATTTGGACTGGGACATTCATAACCTCTGTAAGTAAAATGCCATGTTGCTTAACGTTCTGAGGACTAAGTATCTAGATTTCCTGAAGGGCTGAATAATAGATAGCAGCAATGACCACTGGGTTTCCCTGGACACTTTAGATCATTTGTTTGTTTGTTTTTTCTTCTTGTAAGCTTGAAAAAGATCTGATAGCTTCTCGGCTTATACCCAAAACAATGAAATCTTGCACAGTCAGCATCGTGGTTTTTTGCATATTAGGCAGCTCCTGCCCCTGAACTCTTTTAGAAGTGTTCAGCAATTGTACCAGCATACCAATCTCAGGTGGTTATTATTCCTGTCATTACTTTGTTTGCCATCTCTCTTTGAGAGAAACTGGAAATGCCCCATTTCCTTGGCTTCTGCTGTGTGGGTGAGCAGAATGAGGAACTGTGAATCTTCATGTACCTTCAGCACAGACACAATGGGGTCGCTGTGGGGAAAAGACCTCGATGAACTCTGCTTGACCAGACTGTGTTTCCAGGCAGCATTATCTGAAATCTCCTGGCAGGACTGTTTCTGTCTCATCCCACCACAGTGAACGTCCAGCTGCGTCCCAGCAGATGTGCTTGTGTATGAGCAATGTTAATTTGGAAAGGGCCTTTTCAGTCTCACAATGGCGTTTGTGAATTTTGACTTCGTTTTCAGGTATCTGTTGTAGGTTGGACTTTTGGGAAGTGGGCGCACTAGAGCTGTCTGCATAAGGGCTGAAGAATCCACCTCTCTTTTTCCTTTGGACCCCTTGAGTTCCATTTTTTTTTTTTCTGTTGCTTGAATCTCATCACCTCATGGTGGCTGTAGGAGGCCTAAAGCAGCCAGAACCCTGCTGGCTGATAATTGCTTTAACTGCCACATTGTCCAGATCTCCTAGCATTAGAGCTACATGCATGCTATGTAGAACAGAAAAAGAAACTTAGAATGTCTTGATCATCCAAGCCTGAAACTAGCTGTTTAAAATGCCACTTGCACCCTTGAATTTGGTGAGAAATTTTCCCTGTACATCTTCATCAGGTTTAATATTCCCTATCCTAAGCACTAGTATCCCATAATGTCATTGTTATTGCTGACAGTGTCTTCACTGGCACCTGTTCTCATGGGCATTGATAGTGGGGTGTATTTCCGAAGGTTATTTTAGAGCCATTTGAAAGAAAGCAGAAGCCTTCAATACTTAGTCATGGAACCACCTAGTAGTAGAGATTGGAAGGCACCTCTGGAGATGGTCTACTGTACTAATTCTCCTGGTTAAAGCATGAACAGCTAGAGTAGGCTGTCCAGGGTATCATCCAGTTTGGGTTTGGATATCTCCAGGATGGGGACTTAATAACCTATCTGGAGCAACCTGTTTCAGTTTTTTTGTCACACCAGCACTTACGGAAAACCACAACATGAACCCAACACAGCTAACAACCACCACCCCCATCTTATGTTTAAATGGAATTCCCTGTATTTCAGTTTGAGCTCACTGCCTCTTGTCCTTTCACAGGACACCAAGAAGAGACTCTTTGTTAGTGGCTCTTGTAAGGTATTTATATTCATCAATAAGTCCCCTGCACCCCCAAACCTTCTCAGGCTTCTCAGCTTCCCCTTGTATAACAGGTGGCCCAGTCTCAGAATAATCTGAGGGGCTTTTTGTAGGATTTGCTCTAGTATGTCCATGTCTCTCCCATACTGAGGAGCCCAGACATGGGTACTGTACTGCAATGTGTGGCCTCACCAGTGCTGAGTAAAGGGGAAGTACTCTTGACCTGCTGGCAGTGCTCTTTCTAATTCAGCCCAGGGTACTGATGGCTCATGTTCAACTTAGTGTCCAGTAGGTCTTTTTCTGCAAAACTGGTGCTGGTCCATGGAGTTGTTCTTCCCCAGATGCAGGGGACTTTGCATCTGCACATGTTGAACTTCATGAGGCTCCTGTTGGCCTATTCCTGCAGTCTCTTCAGGTTCCTCTGAATGGCAGCAGGACTCTGTGGTGTCTCAGCCACTCCTTGCAGTTTGGTATTGTGCACAGAATCAGTGAGGGTGCACTGTGCCCCATTTTCAAGGCCATTAATGACCATATTAAAACAGTATTTGAACTGGGCCCCTGGGGTGCAGCACTAGTGACTGGCTTCCATCTAGATTTTGTGCAGTTGCAACCTTCTGATCATGGCAGTTCAATCCCCCTTGCTATCCACTTATCTAGCACTTACTTCCTTATCTTGTGAATGAGGATGTTGTGAGAAGCAGTGTTGGAATCCTCACTTGAGTTTAAATACTGTCCGCTCCTCTGCCCTCATTCACCAGGACAGTAATTTCACTGTAGAAAGCTTTAGCTCCCACATGTTTTCTGTGCCTTTTTTTATGGCACAAATACTGTGAACTTAACAGGACCTAAAGAGATTAGGGTTTACCATGTTCAAAGCAGAAATTCAAAAGATGCTACAAAGGGCTCTTTTATTGTATTTACCTTCAAGAACAGTATCACATGAGCTGTGACTTTTCTTTGTGGTACAATATTGTGAACCTAAAAGAGCCTTGAGAGATTAGGGTTCATCCTGTTCATATATTTCTGAGCATAAGTCAAAAGATTCCAGTAAGTTTATTAAAGGAAAGGGCAAAGGGGCTCATTTACTGCATTTACTTTCAAGATATATGTGTTATCTTGAACCTGACTTTGGTGGCAATCCTGCTATGCGTCATTAATACATTAATGTAACTCAAGCATAACATCATGGGAATGATTTGGGCCTGATTTAACAATTTGTGTGTTGCCTGCCAGATTTCTCCACTGATGCCAGTGCAGTGTCCCTTGCTCTGTGCTCTTGCAATTGAGGGCAGAATCTGATGCAGGGTGCTGTGAAATGTGATGTTTAAAAACTATTCATGTGTAGGTGGGAGGGTCTGATCCTACTCTCATGTGAATAACTAGCTTAGCTGTAACTTCGCGTGTCCCTTGACTTGCAGTGTTATAAGTAGAATTTGGTTCAACTATGATGATTGAGAGTGTTCTCAACTGCTGTTATAATCAATCCTCTTTTATTTTTCAATCAGCAAAATCAATGGAAGCATTACATGAAAATATAAAACAAATAGAACATGATTTGAAGCTGCAAGATAACTCCAAGGCTGAAGTCCGCAAAGCTGGTAATGAAAAGGAGCAAAAGAAAGTTGCACACCGTTTGCTGTACCCAGACTCAGTTTTGTTCCAAAGGTGGGGTGCAGATTTAAGTGAAGAGGAGCAAACTGTTGCACAGAATCTCTTCTTAAATTATGGGTATAATGTTTATCTCAGTGATCGACTACCTCTGGATCGACCTATCAGAGACACCAGATCTCCCAGGTGCAGTATAAGCTCTCTTTACCTTCACAAAGAGACATGAAATTAAAGGGAAAGGGATCTAGATTGCTTTAGATTAACTTAAAATCATCTTAAAATCAGAGTTCAGAAGGTATGAGACCTTCTGGTCCGTTTATATTCTATTCAAACCTGAAGGCAGGATGTCTGAAGCATGCTTTCTCTTTTTTCTTATGTTGTCTTTTACATAAGCCTGTTAGATGCTGAGATATCCTAAGTGGTGTTTTTTAACCCCCTTGCCCTTATTTGGAAATTCCCCAAAATATAATCAATGAAAAAGGAAACCCTTTCATTGTAAAATTCTGTCCTTTTTAACAAAATGCTTGTTTTTCTTAGCTACGTTACAGAAAGTAAGTGGGGAATACCTATACTGCTTATTTAAAGATGATTGGAAATAAATCAGGAGAGTTGGCTGGAACTTATTATTAGCCAGTGAGTTCCATAAAGGGTGACAGAAGATTCAGCACGTGAGCTGGATATCTGGCACTCTTATCTTTAGTACTGTAGGCACAGGCATAATGGACTGGTGACCTTGTGAGTTTTCTTTGTAGCCTCATTTTCTCATTCTGTTTCCTTCTTAAGTTATCAAAGAGTCTGAGGTTTAATTACACAGAAAATGTAGTGGAGTAAACATCTAAAGGATTAAAATGTAGGTAAGCAGTCCTTTCCAATCCTAACCATTCTGTGATTCTAGCTAGTTGGTTCTTGAAGCCAATAGATAATGCATTTTTTTAAGCAGACCAGTGGTATTGTGGAAGGTGGCATAAGTAGCCATTAAAAACCTCATTAAGAGCAAGTATCTGTTAAAAAAAAAGCAAGCACTTTTTTTCCCATATAGTATGATAAGGTACATGTTTTATTGCAACAGATAATAGTAAGCTTTCCAGAAATCAACTACTGTAAACATGGAGGAATATCACACTTACACTATAAGCCTAAACCTTTGTACCTATAGTCACTGGTACTACTTCTGATAGAGTATTTCAGAAAAGGACTTGGGGGCCAGAGAGGGTTGCAAACTGGGCATGGATTAACAGTATCACACTTGGAAAAGGGGAGTTGTCTTACTGGCAGCCCTCCAGAAGATGTAAAGAGGAGGTTTATGCAACTGGGTCCTCGTTGTCCTGCTCCAGGTGGCCCTGGTTCCATCTAGGGCAGGCAGTAATAAGTTGCCCTTGACTCTGTGTGTCTGTGGAGTAGCGTTGCAGAGGAGAAAGTCAGGGCCTTGTGAAGTAGTGAGCCAACCACTGATTGTCCTGAGGTAGCCTGGAGCTCAACAATCTCCACTCTGCTGGGGGATAGTTTTGGAGGCCTCTCTGGAGCAGCCACCGTGGAGGTGTCTGGAAGAAGCACGTGATAAGTCTACATGGTCCCAAAGAATGGATGCTCTGCCTGGTGCTCTTTTGCTTGGCATTGTAAAGAAATATGAATACATCATAAGGAGGTGTTTGTAGAGACCATGTTTTGCAGATATTCCCTCAGGCTTTTGTGCTAATGAGTAGGAAAGCTAAAGGAGAAAATCCTACCAAAATACATTCCACATGTGCAAATGTTGACACTGTAGAGGTCTACCTGGAGCATGAGGCTGTCTCAGAAAGCTGCAGTATGTAGCTAACACAACTTAAGCAGACTAGTATTTTCATGAACATGTTTCTAAGGAGAGGGAGTGATCACCCAGCAAATCCAACTATACGCTGTTGTTTATTCTTAAGTTAGTGCTTAGCACCATGAGAAAAACCCAGTCCTCACCATCTGCCCGGTGGCCAGGATGATAATTAGCAGCGCTGACAAACATCCCATATATATACTTAAAATAAAAAAATATATCTTTTGACAGTAAGCAAGAAGACCAGAAGTCTTCAAATAGCACAAAACAAGTTTGTATCAGTACTGGGAACAATTTATGCTGGGGTAGCATGAAGTTCCACAAGGAGTGGTTTGTTCTGTAAGAAGGGCTTTTGAAGCTCTTTCAAGCATTTCTAAAGAGATTCCTTATACAAGGGAATCTTTCTCACATGCATGTTTATAAGTATAGCTAGTCCTACCTTGTTCTTTATTGCACATACGGAGGGATAATTACCTAATTTGCTTTTGTCTGCTGTCAGGTTTGGTCATTATGATTTCCTTTTGTAAATGCAAAAAGCCAAATTTTATTCACATGTCCACTGCCTTGTAAGGTAATAATTGCTGGCTAAGTTAACTGTATTCTTCAGGTTCCATATTTTATAATTATTTTGGATTGAGAAGCAGTAATTGTTCTTTTTAACAGAAGTTTTAACTTTACCCTGGTGATTTATATGCATACATAACACAACCCAAATGCATAATGAAACTTGGATTTGGGAATTCCTTTTTTTCATTCATGCTTATGCTGATTTTCACTGTGTGAAAATCCCAATTCTCCTTTCCGGCAACTGCCTTGCTCTCTGTCTTTCTTTAGAAACTGTGCTAAAGTTGTTTGTCTTCTGTTACAGCTGTAAAATGAAAACATACCCGAAAGACCTTCCAACACTTAGCGTTGTACTTATATTTATGAATGAAGGACTGTCAATCATCTTACGTGCAATCACTAGTATAATTAACAGAACACCTGCTCATTTACTGAAAGAAATCATCCTGGTAGATGATTACAGTTCAAATGGTAAGTGACCCAGGGAAAGCAGGAGTCTTGCTAATTTATGCCACTGTTGTGTTAAATGAATGTTGGTGGCCTTCTGGGTGCACACAGGGTAGACCTCTCAAAATGAAGAAGTAAATTAAGTGAATTTCCAAAATGATGCTAAGAGATCCTGACTTTCTGTTCCTTTTCTCTGACATTATATTCTTCTTTGGTGAGGGAGATGGTATGCCTGCATCTCTTACAGGAGCATTTCACATTTTCAGGGCTTGTATATTTTCTCTTTCCGTTCCACATGGTGGAAGATACATAAAGAAATTACTGTACTAAGACAAATAATTGGTTGCTGCTATGGCACACATCTGAAGTTTCTACACACTGATGTATGTGTGTACAGTTTACAAACCATGTGATAGTGCTGTATGTAAATGAAATATAGAAACTGCTGAAAGGAAGGAAACTGATTGTTAAGCCTCTTGAATTCATAAGTACCTGAATAATTCTGTTTTATTGCAAACGACAAATCAGGTTTCTGTCTGGATATGAAAAATGTTAGAAAGCCATTGCCTACATGATCTTTTCCATTTCTTAATATTGATGAACTCTTACTTTTTGGGTTTTTTTTTTAATGACTAAAATTTGGGGTCTGGTTCTAGATGATCTGAAAGGACCTTTGGAAACAGAAGTCAAAAATTACAATGCAAAGCATTCAGAACTGCTGAAGATCATTAGACATCAGAAAAGACAAGGCCTAACACAAGCCCGGATTTCTGGCTGGGAGGCATCAACTGCAGATGTTGTTGCAATTCTGGATGCCCATATTGAGGTGAACATGGCATGGTAAGTCTATGAAGACTGGGGAGTTTCTGTAGTGGGGAGAGGGGGACAAGGAGTATAACTGTATTAGCTGAGACAGGCATCCCGCATACGGTTCTCCTTTTCTGGCTTGCACATGTTAATTAAAATCCACCAGTCATTTATTTCTGAGAGGAAAAAGGATACAATTGTTGGAAATATGTAGCAAAGACAGGTAACAGAGTAAGCTGTTTAGTAAAGAGGAAAGGAGAAATGCCTACCTTCATATATTTATTACATTTCTACAAAAAAAGACTTTATACAGTGAAATTAAGAATGATGAAGGTCATTTAGTTCCACTGTGAGCAGCTTTGACCCTTTCTAAGTAAATTAAACAGCCATGATGCCCAATGACGTTAAAGTGGCTTGATTTTTATTCCAGCTTTCACTAAAGCTTGTTTGCACTTCCCTGTTGGTTGAATAGTGCATCATAGTTCTATAGCTCTATTTGCAAAGGGAGGCAAAACAAGCAACTGATGATGGATGTTTAAATTTGGTTAGGTAGTGATGTCTATGGTACTTTTTTATGTGAAATCTCTTTACATTCTTTCCTCCTGGGTTGTTGAATTCACTGGCTGCCTGTTGTCCATGTTTCACTTTCTGGGATCAAAATTCTTATTCCAGCCCTTTTGCTGGCCAAAATGGCTCTATGTGCTCTGTATCTCTCTTTTGATAACACACTGGCACTCCCTAGGTGTTACAACCTTAAAGGTAATGCTTAAGTCATGGCTTCAGGACTCATTGGGTGCCCTGGGTTCAGCAGTAGCAGTCATTTTTCTCCTTCTTAGTAGCTGGTGCAGTGCTGTGTTTTTTACTTTAGTCTGGGAACAATGCTGATAACACCGATGTTTTCAATTGTTACTCAGTAATGTTTACGTCAGCCAAGGACTTTGAGTCCTCTGCTCTGCCAGTGAGGAGGGGCACAAGAAGCCAGGAGGGAGCAGAGACAGGTCACCTGCCCCAAACTAGCCAAAGAGGTATTCCATACCACAGCATATCATGCCCAGTATGGAAACTGGGGGAAATTACCCAGAAGGCCAGATCACTGCTTGGGTTGGGCTGAGTATTGGTCGGCAAGTGGTGAGTGGTTGTATTCTCTTCCCTTGTTATTTCCCTTATCGTTATTATTACTGGTGGTGGTAGTAGTAGTAGTTTTCTATTATACCTTAGTTACTGGACTCTTCTTATCTCAACCCATGGGCTTAAACCATGACATCGGGATAGGCTGGGATGTCAAAGAGTATGTAAGGAGTATTGAAGTCAGTTCTATTATGGTTATCAACAACTGGGGTCCAGCAAAAAGACTCCCTCTGTCAGAGTCCAATACTCTCTGACCAGGTTCTTTTATGTATTCTGTATGAGGAGAGTTTAATGTTTTAATACTAAATTTACTTATTTGAAGATACATGAGATTTTGCTTTAAAAAAGTGATACAGCAATATACTGAAATCTCAGCAGAAGCACAATATAGCAATTGTAATATTCAATACAATGCTATACAAACGAGATTTATGTTACTACTCTTTATATGCTCACTGTCAAGATGTTGGGCATCCCCAGTTGCTTGGAAAGAATACATGGGTTGAAGCCAACTCCCAACACGTTGCTCTCTTTAATGTTAATTTTCCTGGATGTTCAGTTTTTATACTCTGTGTTGGCTGAGCCACATATACACTTCTCCAATGTTGATCTGTCTAATTTAGGAAGATAATACTTTCTATTGATTATTTTAGGAAGGTCACATACATAACCAGTAGACCCACTCAACTGATATGGCCTTTTTCCTGCAGGAAAGGTTTGCTCTGCACAAATCCTCTGGTTTGCTTGGTGTTGGGATAAGTTTAGCTTCCTTTATGATAGCTGAGATCATTCCCTACATTCTCTTCTGAGCTTTATGAGCACATCATCCTTGCCTCTCTCCTCTGAGCCTACTTCCATCATTGATCATAGGGGTCCATTTATCGGTCACACCCTTTCCCTCATACACCAGATGTGCCATCAAGGCACAGGGGAAAGATGGTGAATGATCAACCTCAGGACTTACAGCACCCCCTGGGGTCTCTTTCCTTTCCCCTTTTTGTCTCTTCATGGAGATATTGAGGACTGTCTGGAGCCTGAAGGAAGCAGACCCAGTGTCATGGTTTAAGCCCAGCCACGCAGCCTCTCTCTCACTCCCCCCCTTCCTCCCCCTCCCCTCCTGGAGGGACGGGGAGGAGAATCAAAAGAATGTAACTCCCACGGGTTGAGATAAGAGCAGTCCAGGTATAACACAAACCACTGCTGCTGCCACCAATGATAATAATGAGAAGGGAAATAACAAGGGAAGAGAATACAGTACCACCCATCGACTGATACCCAGCCCGACTGAGCAGTGAACTAGCCCTTCTGGGTAACTGCCTCCAGTTCTACATCCTGGGCATGATGCTCTGTGGTATGGAGTACCTCTTTGGCTAGTTTGAGTCAGGTGTCCTGTCTCTGCTTCCTCCTGGCTTCCCCTCCTCCCTGGCAGAGCATGAGATTCATGAAGTCCTTGGTCAGACTAAACATTACTTAGCAAGAATTAAAAATGTTGGTGTTTTCAGCGCTGTTCCCAGGCTGAAAGTCAAAACCCCAGGGCTGCACCAGCTACTAAGAAGGAGAAAAATGACTGCTGCTGCTGAACCCAGGACACTCAGGTAACAATAAGCTCAGAGATTTAAAAGTGAAATTTACTGTTATTTTTATTAGTGACAGTTAAAATGCAGAAGCAGTCTAATAGAAGAGATAATTGAGCCATGGCATTAACAATTTGGGCTATTAGTACTCCAAGACTGGCATATAACTTTTTGTAGAGGCTAAAGTAAATAGCTTACATAAGGTAGCTAACCCAGTTTTAGAAACAGGCTGTAAAGTTAGTACTGTTCATTAGATTTCCATTTTTTTCAAGCTGAATATACTCTACTTGTTAATTTTGGTAGGGCTGAACCTATTCTGTCTCGACTAAAAGAAGATCGCACTATTATAATATCACCAGTATTTGACAATATTCGTTTTGATGACTTTGAGCTTCTTGAGTATTCAGTGGCTGCAGATGGATTTGACTGGGCACTCTGGTGCCTTTATGAACCTTTACCAGCTGAATGGTATGCTCTGAAAGATGAAACAGCTCCAGTCCAGTAAGTATGAATAGCATTTGAGGGTGAGCCAAGATACATGATACCAATGTAGAGCAAGCAGAGGGAAGAAGGTTTTTCATAGGTGGTGGTATAGACACCTGTGAAGCACATTATATCTCAATATTTGGTTTGGAAATGTGGGTTCTTTAGCAGCCCTGAAAATCTCAGTACACCAGTTGCAGGGTTGTTGAACCAGCCCTGTGCTAATTCTGCTGTCAGATTTTCAGGCAATCCCCAAGTCATTCATTCTTCTGTATTATGTTCCTTAGCTAGGAGTGTGGTAGCAATATTTATTGACTGTGCAAGATGAAGTGTGGCCCTTCTACACACTTGCCCAACAATATGGAGTGAATCTTACAACTCTGCTGGCCAATTGCATGTCTGATCTGTGAGGACTCGGATGGGTTCAAGTTGTGCAGTTATTTCTTTGGAGATGTTGGAGTGATATATGATTGCAGTGATCTTGGGCAGCTTTTTTCAACCCTTACCACTTGTGTGTCACATAAAAGCAAGAAAAAAACATGAGCACATACACCAGCTGTTACACCTGAAGTGACCCCTTATTGTTAGGCTTAAGAGCCAATATATTTGCTTCTGTTACTGATACCTTCCGTAACTGCTCAGATTAGTTTATGTATTCAACACCGAATGGTTGCTGGTACTATGATACCAGCAGCCATCTCATCCTGAATATATAAACCCATTTGCTTCCTCATTATACAAGGATATCAGGTGTTGACTGTCCCTCATCTCTTAACAGACACTTAGCAAACAATACTAAAAACCCCTATGAGATAGATTTGTGTATTTTATTGCATTTATGTGGCAAGGTTTTAGTAGTGGGAAAGGCTAAAGGATTGGTTTCTGTGAGAATAGGTGAGGGGCTGCCCCCATGTTGAACACAATCTGTTCCAGCTTACTCCAAAATATACATTGTGTTGGCCAGAGCTTAGCCAATCAGCAATGCTGGTGGTAGTAATGTATGTAAAATGGGGTAAAAAATGCTGCACAGGAGCTGTGAGAGAGAGGAGTGAGGAAGAAATATGAGATAAACAAGTTGTCCTGCAAACACCAAGGTCAGCGAAGCAGGAAGTGACGCTCCAGGTGCTGGAGCAGTTTCCCTGCAGCCTGTGGGGAAGACTGCAGTGAAACAGCTTGCATCCCTGCAACATGTGGAGGGTTCATCCTAGGAAGCATCATGCTGGAGCAGGTATCCATAGGGTAGTTGTGGAGGACCCCAGTGGAGCAGATATCCACATAGCAGCCCGTGGAGGACCCCGCCAGAGCAGATATTCATATGCTAGCCCATGGAGGACCCTACAGGAGCAGATATTCACACAGCAGCCCATGGAGGAATATGCTGAAGTAGATAAACACACGGCAGCATGTGGAGGACCCCACACTGGAGCAGCTGGATATGCCCTGAAGGAAGATGCTCTTTTCCTTCCATATGGAAAGCCCATGCTGGAGTAGGATCCTGGCAGGTACTGCCACCTGTGAGGAAGTGCTCAGGCAGGTATAGGTTTTCTGTCAAGAACTGCAGCCTGTGTGGGACCTGCGCTGGAACAGTCTTCTCCTGAGTAACTGTACCCTGCAGAAAAGGACCCAATCTGGAGCAGCTCTTGAAGAACTACAGTCCATGAAAGGACCCATGTTGGAGCAGCTCATGGAGGATTGTATCCCAGGGGAGGACCCCACACTGGGGCAAAGGAAAAGTGTGAGGAGAAGAGTGGCAGCGATTAAGTCTTATGAATTGACTATAACCCCCATTTTTCATCCCCATGCACTGCTTGAGGTAGGGAAAGGAGGTAAAAGAGCCAGGAGTGAAGTTGAACATGGAAAGAAGGAAGGATGATGGGAAGGTGGTTTAGTTTTGGTTTTGTCTTTCTTACTATAGTCTTTTTTTTAATTGTCAATAAATTAAATTAGCATTCCCCAGGCTGGGTCTATTTTGCTGGTAATGGTAACTGGTGAACAACCTCGTTATCCTTCTCGTAACCCATGAGCTATTTTATCTTATTATCTTCCGCTGTCATGCAGAGGAGGAATGTGCGAGTGGCTTCTTGGGCACCTGGTAGAAGCCAGCCAAGGTTAATCCACCACATTTATTTATATGAAGGGCTTTAAAATTTACTGTATAGATCTGAGGAGGAAAGGCAGTGAGAAAACATTTGAAAATCATGTCCTGCATTTGTCAGATAAGGTGGCAGATTTCTTCATTCATGTACTACTACACTTGGGAGCAAAGCATTGGAGACAAGGCTGCTCAGATACCTATAGAAAGAACTATGGGTGAAATTGGCACACTTCTCTCTCTGTTATAAACACAGCGAGCATTAATCATTCAGGCAGGAGAATGGAATAAAAGCAAGCCAAATGTAGGTTAAGGAATGTTTCATGGGGGAATGTCAACAGATCTTGGATAAGAGAAAATAGAAGTGGGTTTGGTCATAGAGAATGGGGTATCAAGAGAGTACCAAATCCCATTTCAGTCCTCTTTCCCCCCCATGTAGGATGGATTCATCCACAGGGGAATTGGTCCTGCCAATCATCTCATCTGTCTTTCAAAACCTCAATTGACAGTGATTTCACAGTCCCCTTTGCAATGGGCTTTAGTGTTTAAGTTTCCTTAATGTTAGGTAAAATTCTATAATGTCCAACCCAATTCTTCTGTGCAACTGTTCATTCTGATTTCTTTCTTCTTGTTTTAAATATGTTAAAACTGTTGTGACATCACTCAACATAGATCTAAATCTTTAAAAGATACTATATCATGCTTTTTAGACCATTGATCAAGTTTATTTGCTGTCTTCAGGACTCTTTAATGTTGATCCGCATGTTGCTCTGAAATAAATCTCTTGCTCCTTCTTGGATACAGCTAGAATCTTTCTGGAAGTTCAAGATGTGATTGATGGCTAATTGACTTTATTCCCATAATTATTGCTTCTTTCTTATTTTACTTGTTTGGTTCTCCAGAAGCCCATCTATAATGGGGATTATTGCTGCAGATAGGAAATTTTTGGGTGAGATTGGTGTACTGGACAGTGGAATGCACATATATGGAGGTGAAAATGTGGAACTTGGCCTGAGGGTAAGCTTATTTTTTCATCTTTTTTAGAAAGACAGTGAAAATTAGTATGTGATTTTTTTGAAAGCGTGCAGGTCACTGGCTATTGTCCAGAGCATGGGTTATTATTTCAGAACAATTCTGTTTTATTTTGGGTACTAAATGGAAGTGACAGCTTTCCAAAAGCATCAGCAGGCATTTGTTGATATTTCTCAAGGATTTTGACTCCTAACATGAAATCCTAATTCAGTGAGGGAATACAGAATCTTTCAAGATGTGGTTATTTCAGAAATTTAATGTCTCCTTGCTCAGTAGAAGAAAAAGATAAGATCAAGTTAAGTTTTAGGGGAAAAAAAACATCCCCCCCCCAAAAAAAAAATCCAGACCAGAAATAGGTCTATCTGCCTTTGAAAGTAGTGTGTTCTTCAAATTTTGGTGTCTTCAAATCAAGAATGGAGGCTTCCCCCTGAATAATTTCATCTGGAGTGTCTTTAGTTATTAGGGAACAAACAAGAGCACTAAAAATTCTATTGATGAGTATTTTTTAAAAGTATTGGTGGTTGGAGATATTCTGGAAGACCTGAGAAGAAAAAAATGAACATAATGCTTATCCATATAAAGAAGAGAAAAGATTATAAGACATGAGATTTATAAACCTTTTAGCAAGACTTACATGTCTAGGAAAAAAGGGTTTGATTATTCTCTTTCTCTGTTAAGTATGAAAACAAGGGGGTCTTTGAAAGAAGTCAGTAACCAGTTTCAAAATAAACATGAGAATGAGGTACTTAATTCTTTCAGTAGCAGACCAGTCCAACAGACCAGGCACAGAGCTCCTTCCAAAGGATATTGTGGGTCTTAAAAACTTGAAGTCATTTGTGGGGAGGCTGAACAGTTATGGATGAAAAACCTACTCAGAGGTAGTAAACTAATAAAGAATGACGGGAATAGGCACAAAATCCCCTCACCTGAAAATAACTGGGGGCTATGAGAGGTAACATACATACTTGTATTGTTCTCAGCCTTCCCTAGAAATAAATTTGCAGTCACTGTGGACACAAAATACTAGGCTAGATGAACCTTTGTGCTTTTGGAGCTTCTGTACTTTTGAAGCGTTGGTTTTGTCCTGCTTGGGTATCTCTTCAAATTCCATTAAGACATTTTCCAGGAGTCCACTGGATTTTTTTCTTTCTCTTGAATTGTCCCTAGTGTGTCAGATTTTGCAGGACCAGTTTTGCTCTTGGCATGTTCTGGGAAATGTCACTATTTCTGAAGGATTCAGGCCCATAACCACTACGCTATTTAGCAGTCTAGCTTCTAGTGAGATCACTTGGAGGTATGAAACAGTTTGTCTTACTGCATCTGTGCCAACTGGCCAGAATACCTTGTCACAGGAAATTGGTGAGTAGTTTTGTAAATGGTGATGGCAAAGAAAAAGAAGAACATACTTTACTCTCCTGGACCTCTGATAGGGCTACACATAGTAGAAATGAAAGGTACTGGAAAATTCATTTCACTCACTCTAGCCAGGAAATAGAATTTTGAATGTTGAGGGCATGTCAGCTTTTAGCAGGGCCTGTTGCTGTAGGTTTTAGAGAAAGGGTGATGGCTTTTTTAAAGAAAGATTCAGGCTGGATGTGAGGAAAACAGTTTTTACAGTGAATGTGGTAAAATCCTGGCACAGGTTGCCCAGAGAGGTGATGAATGCGTCATCCCTGGAGACATTCAAGGCCAGGCTGGATGTGGTTCTGAGCAACCTGATCTAAATGAAGATGTGCTTGCTCATTGCAGGGGGATTGGACTTTGAAGGTCCCTTCCAACCCAAACTATTCTATGATTGATTCTAAAAAGTGCAAAGAATACATAGGCAACTTTACTTCAAATTCTCTCTTCTTGATCTAGGCCTGGCAGTGTGGAGGTAAAGTAGAAGTGCTGCCCTGTTCAAGAATTGCTCATTTGGAAAGAGCTCACAAGCCTTACTTGCCAGACTTGAGCATTGCAGTAAAACGCAATGCCTTGAGGGTAGCAGAAGTGTGGATGGATGATTACAAGTACATGGTCTACTTTGCATGGAATCTTCCAATCGAGGTAAGAGCATTTCTCTGTTTTTCAAATTGGAATCCAGAGTCTAAAAGTCGTCAAATAAGAGCATGTGAAAAAAAAAATCAATATTGATATAATTGTTGAAATAGATGGCATCCAAGAGGCATGATTATAGACATGTTCCACTTAGGCTCAAACCAAGAGCTGATGCCTAGCTTACAATGAAATTGTCTAACATGTATTTTAACTTCTTTAGGGAATGTAGGGAATATTTTACCTGAAATATTAATAATTTTGCATGAAAAAGCATGTCTCTAGCAATGGGTGTCCCTGGATATCTTTTCAATGAGCAAATTTGAACTTTAAATAGAGAATTCAATTATTCTTCGTCACATAATCTATTACTTTTATTAAGTGAGTTCTCCTTTTTGCAGCCCAAAGTTCTGCTTTTGTTTTCTTGGAAGAAAAAGGGGAAAGTTTTATAGCACTCTTGGAAAGCTGAAAAATGGTAATACCAGGGAATTAATATAATAACAATAATCCCTTAAATTACAGTGATTTGGGGTTTTTTGTCCTTTTGATTGACTCTGGTACTTCTCAATACAGTTTTAATTTTCCTCCTGCACAAACTGTTGAAGATACTGGAAATGTCAAGACCAGGTCTTTTGAGTATTGATAACTTCAGTTAATAAAAAAAACCTTATGAATTTTCCCAGCCTGCACTTCAGTGGATTTATGAATCTTTAAAAAAGGAATAGACTCCCACCTCCTTATGTTTTCTTGAATAGATACTAAGGAAACAAATTAAAATATATAGTGATATAGCATAAATTAAAACTTCTTTAATTAATTTCTACCATAAATATTTGGAATTTTTAATCTGAAAATGTCAGTCATCAAAAAGTGGTTCAAGTCTGTTTGAAATTCCTAACCTAACTTATCTAGGCCACAGGCTGCATTTTACACAAATGCTTAAAGACAGGGTGTAAGTTCCTGTTGGACTGATCAATACCAAACTTCCCTGCTGGAGCATTCCATTTTGTATAAGAATTTACACAGTCTTGTAAACAATAGTTTGAAACTTGACTGCTCCCACATGAGATGAGTATTGCAGTCAAGAGACTATTGATCGTATTAAAGTTGTTAACAAGCTCTGTCTTATTTTTCACTTTGAGCTAGGATTTGGTGTTTTTTGGTATGAAATAAGGAAACTACTTCCTAGGCATATCTAGCTCTGATAGTCTTTATGAAATGATATGTTAATTTTTCACTAATTTATTGGCATTTATAGGCAAAACAAGTTCTGAAATCCTGAAGTTTAAAAAAATGTACATTTTTTTTTTACAAATGAAATTTTAGCTATAGTTTTAATGTTATAAATAGACAATATGGAGAAATAAATTTGTATTTTCCCTAGTTTCCCAGGCCATCTTCATGTCCTGAAATTAAACATGGTGTTCTTGCAGAATCCTGGAATAGACTTTGGAGATGTTTCTTCCAGAAAAGACCTAAGGAAAAAACTGAACTGTAAAGGCTTTGACTGGTACATAAAGAACATTTACCCTAATTTAATATTTCTTCCCAACATTGTTGGTTATGGAACAGTAAGTATGGAGTCTATTTATTTGAAATATGGAACAAATCATTAGCTCTACTGTTAGAAAGAGTTGTGAGCACTGTTTTGCTGATTATATTTTCCTAGAAACTTTAAAAATACTTTGATTTTTTTTTTCCTAGGCACTAAAGCTTTCTAAATTCTTTTTCATATTAGTTGCTAGTGTAGAATTTCTAAACTGTGTTTATTGTGTGTGTGCTGATGGGAAAACAACAGTAGTTTGGGAAAGTGCTTGATGTGTGGCTTTCTACTGTGTACAGCACTCATCTACTGACCAACAAGAATGGATCAATATCTTTTTGCAAGAACCTGAATTTTTTAATGGAGTAGTATGGATTCTCTTCTGCAGAGATTACCAGGATAATTTGGAAAGCATGCACGTATGAATCAAGATAGCATTTTCTATACCCAAGCTTGCATGTCTTGCTGGAGCTGAGCACTGGTACTTACCTGTCTGGAGCTGCTTGGTGACTTCTGACATGATGCTCCATGGCATGATGTCAATGAGTCTTTGACAGGCCTTACATTTGCTTTTTTTTTTTTTTTTTTTGTTACAGTGTGTTATTTCTATGGAGGCAATCTGAGATTTATTTTCTAAACCCATATTGTATCTTCCACTTCAGGATCCAGTGCAGAGCTCTAAATAAAGTAGCCTTGCTCTCAGAACAGTTTCTAAAATTAGTTGTGAGGAGTTGCAAACAGGATTGCTGTTCCTCACAGTAAATTTCCTGGTTTATTCTGCAGATGAAAAACACATTGAAAGAAGACATCTGTATTGATCAAGGCCCTGTCCCTGGAAACACACCAATTATGTATCCCTGTCATGCATACTCACCACAGGTAATACAAGCAACTGACCAGATCTTCATGTAAAAGCAGCTGCTAACTGTTCCTTTCAAGCCTCCACAGGGCCATGCGATCAGCACTTCAAAACTATTATCTCTGTGGTATCTAAAGGAAAATATTAACCTTTATTTCATTAAATTGTGCTGACCAATGTAACTGGAAGCAGAGCAGGTTCCCATGGAAATCTATGTGCATTAAACTAAGGCTTTTGGTTTAGCCTTGCCAAAAAAATGTGAGACCTCATGTCGATACTGATTGATCTTGTTGATTAATAGAAGATGACTTGGATAAAATGGGAGAGAGGCGGATCTCTTCCTCACACCACCCTGTCTGTCCCCTCAGAAGGAGGGAAGCTAAGGGTTACTGTTCAATTGTAAGCATCTTGATTTTGTTTTTCATTGGAAAGCAGAAAGTTTTTGTATAGGGTCAAATTCATCCTGTTTTAATTACTGAGAGCTCAATGAATGCTGGTGCTGTACAGCTGGTACTTCTCAATATCAGTTTTGGAACTCTCTGCTGTCACCTGCTTATGAGATTTCCCTTGTATCTTAATTTACTGACAGCAGTGTCACCTTCCCTTTCAGCACATCTTTTATCACAGCACTGGAGAAATGTATGTAGGAGGTTTACATGCCCGACGGAATACAGGTGATAGATGCCTAACAGACCCTGGGAATGGGGACCTGCCTGTTTTAGAGAAATGTGACATAGCTGTGAATAAAGGTCTGAACTTGCACTGGGATTTTAAGCAGGTAGGTGGATTTCTATGTCCCCACATTTCAATAAGCTCTCCTTGGACACTTCCTTGCAAAGCAGGTTTGTTTCTGACTAACTTTGCCTTAATTTTCAGGGCTTGCAGGTGCCACTGCAAGAGCTGTGGTGAAGGTGGTTGAGTCTTCAGGGATGTGTGATTTTAAAAACAAGGGGATGGTCACACAGCTGAAACTGAGTTACCAGAATTTAACCAGGTTCCATTTGTGCAGGGTTTATGCCAACTGATGCTGACATGCTTAAGATCCCAAGTGATGCTTTCAATGCCTCTGAATACAGAATCACAGAATCCCAAGGGTTGGAAGGGACCTCAAAAGATCATCTAGTCCAACCCCCCTGCAAGAGCAGGGTAACCTAGAGTACATCACACAGGAACTTGTCCAGGCGGGCCTTGAATATCTCCAACATAGGAGACTCCACAACCCCCCTGGGCAACCTGTTCCAGTGCTCTTGTCACTCTCACAGTAAAGAAGTTTTTCCTGATGTTCATATGGAACCCCCTATGCTGCAGTTTACACCCATTGCCCCTTGTCCTATCACTGGACATCACTGAAAAAAACCTAGCTCCATCATCCTGATACCCACCCTTTACGTATTTGTAAACATTGATGAGGTCACCCCTCGGTCTCCTCTTCTCCAAGCTAGAGACTCAGCTCCCTCAGCCTCTCCTCATAGGGGAGATGTTCCACTCCCTTAATCATCTTTGTGGCTCTGCGCTGGACTCTCTCCACCAGGTCCCTGTCCTTCTTGAAATGAGGGGCCCAGAACTGGACACAATATTCCAGATGCAGCCTCACCAAGGCAGAGTAGAGGGGGAGGAGAACCTCTCTTGACCTACTAAACACACCCTTTCTAGTATACCCTAGGATGCCATTGGCCTTCTTGGCCACAAGGGCACATTGCTGGCTCATGTTCATCCTCCTATCCACCAGGACCCCCAGGTCCCTTTCCCCTTCACTACTTTCCAGCAGGTCAGCCCCCAACCTGTACTGGTACATGGGGTTGTTCTTCCCCAGATGCAAGACTCTACACTTGCCCTTGTTGAATTTCATCAAGTTTCTCCCCACCCAACTTTCCAGCCTGTCCAGGTCTCGCAGAATGGCAGCACAGCCTTCTGGTGTGTCAGCCACTGCTCCCAGTTTAGTATAATACTAGCTTAGTCAGCTAGTCTAAGACAGGTACTATCATGCTGCTGGGGCAGGATAAACAGGCAGCAGTGATAACAATGGAAGGAGAGGTGGGAAAGGAAGCCATGCAGCTTCTCCCCTCTTAGGCAGTTCAAGCCTTATTAGCTTTATGTAATTAATAATTAGTTAATTTTACACATTATGGGCCTGTTTATTGCATTTCTCAGTGAAAACCTAAGCAGGAGACAAATCTTGTGAGCAAGTGGTAGAGAATATTGGAGTTGAATATGTGAAAGATAAAGGATTCAGTGACCCATATAGTATAGACCTACACGGTCTCCAGAAATTCTGCTAACATGGGCTTTATCTTTAGTCCGGTCTGTAACCATGAAACTTAGAAAAAGGTGCATATATATTTTCTGGAGGGTTTAGACCCACCTTAAAAGTAAACCTCCAGTTCCTTGTGCGCATCAAGAATTATCATAGTGAAACAACTGGCTGCCTGAAGGAGCCAGCTAACATCCTGTTTGCTCTGGAGCCCAGCACCTTAGGAAAAGCCTCATATCTGGCCTGATGAGTTGACTTAATCACACCCCACCTCATTCACAGTAACTGGTATTGAAATACTGACATAGGGATAAGATATTAATATTCTTACCTGTTATTAGCTCTCTTGCTTCGAAGTGGGATAGAGTATTAAAATCTACTAAAATTATTTAAGCTGTAAAAAACAAACCCACAGAAAATACCCACCCCTCCCTCCAACTCCAAAAAGTTGGCACGAAATAATCCTCTGCATATATTTTAATGTGCCTCATAGAGTTCCATAAGCTGTCATGCATTATCAGCCTGAGGAAAACACAACTTTTTTTTCTCAGGTCTCTGACCTACTAGTGTTTCTCAGACACATTTGCAAAGGTCAGGAGAATTGCTTCCTGACTGAGCACTCAATTTATAAGCCCTCAGCTTCTCTCATCTTTCCTTTCCTTTTGTAGGGATCGGCTGTAATCAACAGGAGCACTAAAAGATGCCTCGAAATCGCAGCAGACAATCCATATTCATATAGACTCGTAATGCAGACCTGCACAGGACAAAGGTGGAATATACAACACACGGTTAAGGACTGGGGAAAGACAAAAGACCTGTAACAGAAGGCACCGCACTGACTGGAGAATGTTCTTCCTTGAAAACTGCTATGCTCATAATGCAGCACTGAAAGCAGTGCTGCTTTCAAGAGTTATTTACACATGATTTTCCAAGGCAGTAGTCACTGCAGGAGCTACTTGCACTCTTGGGGCATCACCCCCCAGTTTCCTCAGTCAGGAAGGGGACTGTGCTCTTTTCTTGTCACTGGAGAGCAGTAGTTACGTCTAAGAGTCTTTCAACCCACCTGAGTGCCTTATGTTGTCCTTTGGAAGTGCCTGGCTACTTATTAATGAAAGACTGGTGTAAGGTCTCTAACTTTCTACCTTTGGCATTTTGTTTAGATATGAAAATTTAGAAGAAATTAAAGTGGGTCTGACTTCTTTTTGTACACAGTTTATCTCAGGATGAATTAGACCATTTTTGGGTCATATAGATAATGCAAAACTTCTTGTCAAGATGTACTCATGTGAATGGCTGAAATGAAATACATCCTTGTGCTCCTGTCCATATAATTTTCCTGGACATGATTCAGTTTCTCAGTAAAGTTTATTACAGTGTGACACACTAAGGCTGCATTATGTTTACTTATGGGAAATTAGTTTGCACCAACCACATGCTGACATGGATAAAGTTCAGTCAAGTGCTTGGAAAGCAGGAGGTAGGACTCAGTAGTTGCCACAAACCAGTAGGAGTCCGATACAGTAACACGTCTATCAAACAGTAAAATACAGCATGAGTTGCTAATGGAAGGCAACTTCCAAGTAGACAGGATATGAGCTTTTGTAGAAATAGAGTTAGGTGGAACTGGTTGTCTTAATTCTTAGAGTAACCACTCCTAGGACTTACACTTATTTGTTAAAGGGAACTCCTGTAAAGTAAACTCATTGAAGCTATATAGAGTTTCAGTCTGAAGCAGTTTTGTTATCAAAAAGGTGACAAACATTTTATCCAAATAGAAAGTGTATTCAGGGTTTGTTTGACTATTTGTTTGAGTCTAACCCAATATTATTTGGTTTTTATCTTTCTAATTTCTCTGTAAACTAAATGTGAACAATCTGGCCCTGATATTCAGGATCGGAAATGGACAAGCTCTTAAAGGAAGGTCCTCAGGATCTGTATTTTTCTGTTCCAGAAACTCATTCTTAAAAATGCCACATTTTAACCAGATTGGATTTAAATTTCTAAAATCCACTGCCGTGGTTTAAACCCAGCCAGACAGCTTGTGCACTCACTCCCAGTGAGTGGTGCCGGGCTGGAAGCAGTCAAGGCCCACGTGTCGTCGTTCCCCCCCCCCCGGGCTCCCCCCCTTCCGTGCTGCCAGAGGGATGGGGAGGAGAATCGAAAGGATGCAACTCCCACGGGTTGAGACAAGAACAGTCCAGTAACTGATGTACAACACAAATCACCACCGCTACCACCACCAATGATAAGAGATAATAACAAGGGAAAAGAGTACAATAACACCGGCCGAACAACGAGTCCGACCCGGCAGACCCCCTGTCCTTCCGGGTAACTCCCAGCTCCCCCCTGGGCATGACGTGCTGTTGTATGGAATACCTCTTTGGCTAGTTTGGGTCAGGTGTCCTCTCTCTGCTTCCTCCTGGCTTCCCCTCCTCCCTGGCAGAGCATGAGGCTCACAAAGTCCTTGGCCAAACCAAAATATCATTGTCATCAGCTCTGTTCCCAGCCCGAAAGTCAAAACACAGCACTGCAGCAGCTACCAAGAAAGAGAAAAATGACTGCTACTGCTAAACCCAGGACATCTACTTTTATTCCCTGTCCTGAATCAAAGCCAAAGACACTGAAGAAAGAGGAATTTCTGGTTGTTTTCTGCATCTTCAATACTGTGTCTTACTGAAGTCGAAGGACTACTGTTTTGACAAGCGCAATGAAGACAGTCAGAATTTTGCCGGTACAACTGAAATGATAACCTGGCCTAGTGGTGATGATTAATAAAGTGTTTGCATATGATTTTTCCATCTTAATATGCCACTTCAATAGAATGTAATAGACATATGTTTTGGACAATTTTGGTTTGAACTTAGAGTTTGAAAAAACATCAGAATGTTCCAGAATGTCTAGGTTTCCTGGTTCTTAATGTGTGGCTTCTAATCATATACAGGGTTCAACACTGAAACAAAATGCTTCAAATATTTTGATTTATCTCAAGTATAAGTCTTTTTAATTTCCTGACCCGCCCTTACAAATGTGACTTTTTTGGCCAGTTTTTGTAATGAGAAGAGACAGTAGCCATAAGAGAAGGACTTCAATTTTCTGGTGATGCATAATGGGACATAAATGATAACTCCATGTTTTTGGTGCTACAGTAGTAATATATTGCTCTCACTAGTAACACTTTTGAACTTGAAAGTTCACTGTGTGATGAAGCAATTGATGTGTGATTCCTCAGCAAGGAAGCAATGGATGTAGGACTCTACTGCCATGCTGTATTACAAGAAGACAGCTATGGCTGTGGCATAGCATAGAATGGGATCTATTCTTGCCCTGAAAACCGGTCATTTGCCCAACTTCCAGAACTGCAGAAAATCACCTCAGCTCCTGCAAAATGACACGAGAGTGCTGAAGAGGGGTAGTAAAAAGAACATAATAGGCAGGAGTTTTAATGGGTATGTGGCTGCAAAGGAGCGGGACAGCTTAACTCAGAGCAAATATAAACAAAAGCACTGAGTTACGTACTACCGTGCAGGTAAGCCTTAGTGGAATGGGTAGAACAGTAGTGGTTTCCTCCTTGGTTTTGTTCCCAAGGAAGTTTGGTTTTACTGCATGTGCAACAGAAATCCACCTTGGGAGGAAGAATTAGAAGAGGAAAAAAGGATTTCTTCTTTAATGTCTGGTGGAATGGGGAGAAGAGCCAGTCTGGAGACAGTAACTATTTAAGGGACTATAAATTGTCAATCTCTATAAGGAGAAACTAAATCAGAGAACAGACAGAATCATTTAATCTGTCACCAGGGGATTTATTTCTGGCCAAACTAAATCCCCTGGTGACAGATTAAATGTGTGGTGGAACTGTGATAATCAATAAGAAGATAATTAAAGCCACTACTGCTTTCATTCACATTTTTTATTTGACTGACTTCTCTAAACTCAAGTGGCAAATTTAGATTTACATCCTCATTTTCCTCCCTCTTTGTGAAACTACCTTTTTTGAAACATTAACCATTAGGAAGAAGTTCTTTACTATGAGGGTGGTAAGGCACTGGCACAGGTTGTCCAGAGAAGCTGTGGCTGCTCCATCCCTGGCAGTGTTCAAGGCCAGGTTGGATGGGGCTTTGAGCGACCTGGTCTAGTGGAAGGTGTCTCTGCCCATGGCAGGCGATTGGAACTGGATGAGCTTTAAGGTCCCTTCCAATCCAAACCATTCCATGATTCTATTATTAAGCTTAAGTGTTATCAGTGCGGTATAGCACTCTGCTTGCATTGAGAGCAATCCAGTCAGGATCAGTGGGCAACTGAATCAGTGGGAACTAAATGGTAGAGCTGCTCACAGTCAGGCATCCGGAAGCCCTCAGTACACCATGCAAGCCTGAAGACTACCAGTGAGATAGGGGGTCCATCAATCACCCAGTTTAGAACAGGGTCATACCCTGTCTCTCATGTCTGGGAAGTATGGCCCTGGGGCTTTGCTTAAAGCTTTGTGCTTGAAACCATACACTAACAGCACTTCAGTATTCAGCTCAAGTCCCTGTAGCAAATGTGAGTTCAGCAATGGTTTTGTATTTCCTCAACCCTGGTAAATTCTGTCTACTCAGATATGGTAGTTATAGTCATGTTTGTAATGTTAGATTAGATTTCAAACTGGGTTTTTTTTCTCAAATTTTTGGGAGAGTTGCTGTTACTTCAGAGCATGTTTTTCCATCTGTTCACTGTAAATTTACTTGCAGTCCTTAGTCTTCCTAAAATCTCCTCCCAGAAAAGGCAAAATGGTACCTTATAGTGTGTGTTTGCCTGCAAAATTCCCCAACATGTGCCATCTGTTGCTAAGTGCCTGAAGCAACAACGATAATGGCAGCAGCTTTGATGCAAAACCATGCTTACTTGTGCCCTACTGTGGTGGATGCCCAGAGCTCTGGGTTCAGTATCATGATTGCTGTTTGCTTCTAATGCCATGTGTGTATCTGTTGTAGTAGTTCAAAGGAGATTCACAAATGTAAGTCAGTTTTGTGTGAATGATGAGAAATTCTCACCGCAAACGTTACGTATGCAAGTGTGAGAACTCAAATCTAGAACTGTGTGGTTAGGTGGCACATATCCCAAAACTATTAATTTTTTTGGGAAGAGGAGTTTGTTAAAGGGAAAATACTTGTCTTACACAGACAGCTTTGAAAAGGTATTGTCAATTCACCATATTTCAAAGAAAGTGTTAGAGCCCTACACTGACAGCCACATCTAAAAAAGACTAAGACAGATATGTATGAACTTACAATTCAAGGGAACTGTGATAGCTGCCACACTACAGGGTTTGCTTCTGTGTCTCCTTTAGACTTTGAATTTCTGTGTGCCTGCCATCATTTTTTTTGTGTGGGATGCACGCAGGTGCCATTAGCCTGGATGAACTGAGCCTGGCTTATTCTTCACCCCCACTGGAAATGGTCACTCATGTGTTCAGCTCAGCCTGCCTTGAGTGCCATGGTTCATGGTTCTTGGACTGCCATGCTTCTGGCATGCAAATCAGTTGGTTTAACTAATAGCATACTGTGCTGCAATCTGCTATATAATTACACACTTAATTAGATTCACAGTTTGTTACCTGTGTCACACTGTGACAGGGCTTGTTGCTCTTTAGGGGAAAAAAAATCTGGTTAGAACTTAGAAAAGCATCATGAGGGTTGATTTTTCTCCCTGAAGGTGTGAGCTCCTTTCAGAAGAACTTACAGATTAAAGCTTAAGTAGTCACTGTTTATTAAATGTCTGTGGTTAACACCCCCCAGTTAAAAGTATGCCCTTGGGCTTGCAAAGAAAAAGCCCTGAGTACAAGATGACGATGGTGGCATGCACACTTACCGATGTGGGATTAGGCAAAGGGAGGAAATTTTAGTGTGTGAGTTCTGGGGTAGCTGCCTGGTTGTGCGATCTTGCACTACACTGTGAGACAGCATGTATC